TTTATTTAATTGCAAGTTAATATGTAAAATTTTGTGTAATTACATTTTAATTCAAATGTATCAAGTTGGTGTATCATCCTTAATGAGATAACCAATATCTAAATATTGATGATTTGCACATCTAACGGAATGCGTTCAACAAGTTCATTTGGGTGTTTCCAAGTGAAAAACCAAGTAGTCTAAAAATGTATAATAGAATAATCAATTCCACTATTTTTTAATCACGTACTAGTATCATTAAAGTCCGTATCCCGTTGTCTAAAGAATTCTATTTTTAGACTTTTATGGTATAAAAATTCAATGAAAAGCAAATATTTAAACTAGATCAACTATACAATCCATGTGATAATTACATATATCAGATATTTACAAAAATGCAGAAACATTTGACATGTGAAATTGCGAACAGATAAACTTTCTGCTCAATTTAGAAAAATAAAATAAGATCGGATTTAAATTTTAAAGCTTTAAATACTTAAGCAAATCTAGTAGTATTGTTATGCAATGATCGAAATAGATTAAGGTATGTCATATATTAGCCTATTCATTATTTTTTACTCATTTGAAAATGATCCAAGCCATTTGGTCATTAGTCATTTTCAAATGATCCAAAATTTAAATGAGATGGTCATTTGAGATCATTTGAAAATTAAGCAAATGATCTGGTTATTTACCTGATATAATCATTAAGATCGTAACCAAACTTTCATGACTAAGCAAAATGTGTGACACTTGAACTTTCATCTATATGTATGTACATATATGAATTGCACTTTTTGACATTCGATTTCGTATTTATGTGCTTCTAAAAAATGCAAATTTATTATGATTTGCGCTTGTCCATTTCCACATTCCAAACTTTGATCAAATTATTAATATTGATATAAACAAATGACATATACTGTATATTTTCTTTATAAAAATAATATTTACAAAATATCGATTAATTGGTAATTTGGGGGACTTGGAACTTATCCAGCAAGTAATTGTTGCAGATCATAATGAAATCAGATCATTGTGAAATTTAGGGGTCTCAATTTAAACATATAACGATAAGCCCTACCAAAATCCACCTATACTCTTTCTAATAATTCTAACCCTAGACCCTAACTTAACTATATAAAAAAACCTAATAAAAAAAAGGCCCCAAAAAATTTTAAAAATCCGACATAAAATAAGTTAAATTTCATGAATTCTGACACTGGTGGCATCTATAGTTGACACCAAAATTAATTCACGTACAAGATTCCACAAATTGCATTAATTACCACAATTAGCAAATATAAATTAATACGTATGACATACCATAAATAATCGTGGCATACCGCAATTCAGTAAATTTAATGTCACTATAGTGGTACTTGTATGAAGCTAATTAATTATGTGCACGTAGTTATACTATTGTCAATCATATGTTATCATGCTATTTTCGCATTATATCAAATCACAAATAATAAACCGATTGTTACTTGATTCTATTTACTTCGTATTTTTGCGGACAACCTAAAAATAAAATACACGACATCGAATTGACACCCATATGCATCCTGGATGAAGCTCATATTTCGATTTTGATAAATGTAAATTAGCCAATCACAAAGTCTTTTTGTGTTAGAACAGGCGGTCAAACTTATATTTCCAAAATAACGCACGTGCTCGTTAGAGATGTGTGAAATAAAGTGATCAGTGATTTGTTAATACAATAATTTAAACTTAAAATTAATAAAGCTATTATTATAACTAATAATCTACTAAACTCAAATTTCGTCCCGTATGAGGTCATCACACATTTCGCGTGAGGTCATATCGCATGCGAAATATATGCTAGGTTTATCGCGCGAGAAGTACATCGTAAGTACTCGAAATAACGCGCATATATTCAAAATAACGCGTATCTCTCCTGTCCGACCAGTGTTGGCTGATAACCTAAGTCATAACCTTGTTTTCTATACCTTGGTCATATACTCATATGACTTTCTGGTCATAAACATATCAGTCATATTAAATGCTAATGAAAAAATTTTAATATGATTCTTGTTACATTAAAAAAGGTCATAAGTATATCAATCTTCGTTATGACCAAATAACCTATGACTTGTCATATAGGTCATTAAAGTGCAAGTTTACTGACTTGTTTTTTTATTATGAAATATTATATACGTCCCTATACATACTCCAACCCATTTCTCCCACATCTCCCATATAGAAGTAGGTTGTTCTTTCACGAAACTTAATTTAGTTTGCTAGCAAAAATCCTTTACTTCTCAACTTTTCTGTTTGATTATATCAAGGAAAGGGTATAATCAGTTCCTTGAACAAGAGAAATACAAAAAGCTGGATGTCAAGAAGAAAATAAGCTAACCATAGCAATTTATTTTGCGAGTAATACAAACTTTTAAAAAGGCAGTTTTGGTTATTCCGAAAAAAAAAAAAACCGAACTACTCGACAACTAATGCTTAACTGATCTCAGTGCGCGAATTAGAAATGTCGGAATCAGATTTTACATATAATTTAAGATAGCTTATTCTATATCTCCAAACCAATCAATATCTAACGTCCTAACCTTGAATTGCTACATTCACGTACTTGGTTTATTTTATACAGTCAACTATCGATATAACGGAGACCTGAAATGGCCTAAGAGTTTCTTTCATTATATAGCATATTCATTATACTTATATAACGGAATAGGCATGACTTATTTCGGTCAGATTTTTTAATGAAATTGCAGTCATAAACTGCGCCAATGCATTATACGTATTAAAATTCGCTATATCATTTACGGGTTAGAGATTGTACGGCAAAAATGTCCTTTATACATATTATGGTCTACGTTATGTATTGAATCTATTATACGTATGTAACCGTTTTAAATTTCGTGCTAACCGGAAATATTACATGATCAGCAAAAAATTCTGATTGGCTAAAATTGCAGTTTACGTTATTTGATTATCTTTATCTTTGTGCATTTCATAACTTTTCACACGTAAATTTCAAACCTTTTAAAAGAAATATTGACTTGTTATTAGTTAATTCGTTTTAAAAAGCTAAGAGTTTAATGTAATAACTTTATTATTACACCTCATATTTCAGAATAGTTGATGAAACAACTGAATATAGTAAATAAAAGTTTTGTAAAAAAAAAAAATAAAATAAGAAATCCTATTATTATGTACAATGTAAAAGCTTGCGTAACAAGATTTTTTCGGTTGAAATAAACAATTAAATCCTCCAATATGATAAAAATAAATGTTCTTTTAAATTAAAATAGAAAAAAAAATCAATTAGTTAAAGTATTCTCTTCTTTATCTTCTCCAGTTCTATCTTCAGTGTTATCTTGAGTTTTATAAATAGTTCCTTCTAGAAAACGGCAAAATTCAGGATCATTCTGATCATTCTGTTCACAATATTTTCCGATTGGCTTTCCAGCGTCAAGGTCAAGGTATATATCTGAAATTCTAGTACCAGGTGTGGCTCTTGGTGAAGATAATGTTTGTTCTTCCTTTTTTTCTACAAAAATTAATTTACAATAATTAATTTAAAAAATTACCAAACCTAATAACTTTACAAACTATAATAGATATACTAACTTTGAGCGCCAAAGCCAATGAATTTTAACAAGTCTTCAATAATAGCAAACATTGTGTTTTTTTTTTGTTTTGTTATTTTTTTGTTTTTTTGTCTTGTTTGTTGGTTTGTTTTTTTGCAAGAAAAATATCGATACTTTTTTTTTACTCGTAAATTTTCAATTCATTTTATAATGTATCGTCGGACTCGTATATCCAGGGTATGTCCCCATTTTACTTCACTCATATAAGGAGGGTACACCATATCTGGACAATACATAGTATTGATGTAAGGAATTTAAGATCCATGTTTCTTTGTACGTAAATTAATGTGTAATCAAGCATTATAGAGAATTTCTTAAATTATAGAATTCAATAAACGTAAAATACTTAATCGTTATTGATGTTAATAATTTAGGAAATGTTTGATTTAATCTGTCTTATTTATCTTATTTATACGTACATTTAAAGAGAGGATTCTAGTTTTCGGATTTCTTGCATCATGCATATCATATGCTTCAAAACTAGCAGGGTACACTCCTATGGGAATATTACAAGTCTTCCTTTTATAGTAGTTTTCACGCAAAAACACCCATCTGCGCATTATTTTGTGCATATATGTGCGTCATTTCATACGTGCATGTGCGTTATTTTGAGATAAAATCTGTCTTACATCGAAAGACATTTATGTGATTGGCTAATTCACATTGAAACATGCACGTTTAATGTCAATTCGATATGCATGTTATCTTTAGGTTGCACAACTTTCGAAATAACGCCAAGGGCGTTATTACTCGAAGATGTAGTATATACTGCGTGGGAAAAAGACCGGAATCATAAATTATACAATTACGGGAAGATGATCACATCTAGAGATTGGTCGTCTTAAATGATATCAACTTTAGGTTTTGAAGAATAGCTTGATGGTATAAAACTTTGAGGATTATCGAAAGTAAGCGAACAATACATTTGTAAATACCTGGATATATCGATCGGCGCTTTACAGTATCACGGAATAAAGTATCCGGTTGATCCACATAGAATTTCGATTCTATTCTTCAAGGACCATATTGAATTCAATTCTTTAGCGCATCCGAATTAGTATTTTAAGCCATATAATTTTAGTTAATTGGTGGTATTACAGAGCTTTATAAAAGTAACCTTTGAGCCGGGAGTAGCTTCTAATATGTAAGTACGTACGTAGGTACATACCTTTATTTAGAATTACATATGTACAGATATACCAATCTTGGATTTTGTATTTGATTTAAAACCTCAAACTTAGTAAAAAATAAATAAATAAATAAAATACGTATCCAAATAAATTTAAAGTTAGGGATTAATAAAAATCAGTTCTGCCAATCAGCCGAATTACTCATAAGTATACTGTAATCTGATATGTATTCGTCTGATTTGAGGAGACATGGACTTAAAGTTGAGATACGCCAGAATGGAATTCGATATGAGATGCATTAAACCAGCCTATTATTCATACAATTGAAATGCGTAATGATGCTTAATAATAAAAAAAGTCTGTGTGTATTTCGAGCAGAACTAAGTTATGGTGCCAGGACCTTAATTGAATACGTATAAAAAAAAGGTACTATATGTAGTAACCGATCAAACTAACAAAAATTAAGAAAATGTTAGTATACTTATGGGTGCACCAATAAATGTTGCAGAATTTGACGTTGGAATGAAATTAAACGAAATGTAGAGTTTATCGTTATTAGATTATCAGTATGATTAGAATATTATACGTCACTCATATATCGACACTCTAAAAAACAAAGAATCGTCCAATACATCTCATTAAATATACAAGTGCAAAAATTTAAAAAAATGTCTGATCGGATGTCGTTATATGCGTGTAATGTTTTTTTATCTTAACCGTACGAATGAGTGGTGCTAAAAGAAAAACCAGACTTCGGCTTTTAAACTTAAAAAATTCGAAGAATTGAGGGTGTTCTCAAGCACCTTACTCAATGGATCGGAGGCAAAATTTTAATTAATCGGAAATTAACAAATCAATGATATAATCTATCATTTTTTTTAAAAATTTACCATTGATAAAGCAATACTTTTAATTTTTTTACACATCAAACATAATAAATAATAAAATTTCAACAAATTTCTAACCAATATCAAAAAAGTCACTGTATTTTAATTCTCGAAGGTTTTAAAACACATAATCGATACCTTGATATGAACATAACAAATGCAACCCATCTCTTAACATTAAATTAAACAATAATGAATGCTGCTATCCTGTTTCTTGATTAATAAAATTTAAATATTAATACTTACAAGAAAAAAATTTTTTACTTCTTATTGCTGTAATGCAACATTTGCTAATAATTCTATAAATTGATTTTGTTACTATTGTAACTAAATATTTAAATTAATAAAATTATTAAAAGAGAAACCAATGCAATTGAAGTTAAAGTTTTAATAACCAGTTAAATAGAAATTTTTTTATGTTTTAATTAGTATAATATAAATTATAAAAAATAGAAAAAGTATACTTATGTTATAGATCATAATGAAATTAGATTAAAATAAATTTTTTTTTAATTTTTAACAGTTTTGCTAATTATCTTTATTAAAAATTTTAAATAGTTTTTTATACAAAGTTAGTTTAAATTCTGGCTTGATATCTTCTTTTGTAAGTATTTAGAAACAGTCTATTGCATTAGTCAAGATATTATTTAAATTTAAAATTTATATCAAGTTAGTTAATAAAATTATTCTTCTTCTTTTTTTTAAAAATAACTTCTTTGATCTTTTAACTTTATTAACTTTTTTGAATAACATGTTTATATGAAACTATTACAGAAAGAGTATACACTAAATGCATGTATCACTTTTTTAAATTACCTATTTAAAAAATCTATTTAAAAATTTTTTACCAATTATTATACTTAACATTTTTACTTGGATACTTTATTTTAACTTTTCTAAACCTGTATTTTGTATTAACTTTATTAAGTTACAAAGTTTTTTTTATATCTAAATTCTCATTTTAAGCTTAAAATAATTTATCTTTAAAGTAAACTTTTTAGAGCTTTTTGTATTTTTATTTACAGCTAACCTGATATCATTATAATTAAATCAATACTTGTAGTCAAAACTAACCATTAAACCATTATACTTTTGTAAAGTTTATACAACTCTAGTACTTTTTTACAATCTTACTAATGTCTTATTTACTTTTATAAGTCTTTTTATACTACTAATTTTGTAAGCTCTGCATAATATATTTTTATGTCTGAATTAACTAGTAGTCAGGTTAATGAATCGTTTTTATTTGAAAATTCTTGTTTATATAGATCACTAGTTTTAAGTTTTTTTTTTAAATTAAAATTTTTATAGGTAATATTATTAAAGTTTATATTATTTTTTTACTTAAAATTTTTAAATAAGGTTTCTTATAAAGTATATACTTTTCAAATTTATTTATATAAAATTATATACTTCAAAAGTTAATCTTAGTATAATTAAAATTACAAAATTACAATCTTAGATACCTTGTTCAAGTTATTAAAATAAACCTATTTTTTAAAATTTTACTATCAATAGAATTTAAATTTTAGACCTATTATTTAAAAAATAACAACTCAATCATTATACTAGAATTACTATTCTTATTCTAAATTTTTAATATATTTGTTATTTAAAAAATATATAAAATAAAATAAATAAATTTAAGTTATATTTAAAATTTGGTAAAAATAATAATTCTTATAACTAACATTATTATTATTTTTTTAATATTAAAATAACCTTTTTTAACTTTTATTAACAATTTTTTTAGTAATATGATTTTTGTAAATCATTATAGGAAAAGTATACAATTAGTTATATATGTAACTTTTTTATATTACCTATTTAAGAAGTCTACCTAAAAGTTTTTTACTAATTGCTATACTTAATACTTCTTCTTAAGTGTTCTATTTTAAATCCTCTAAATCTGCACTTATATTAATATTACTAAATTATACTCAGATTATTATCTTAACTTTAAAACTATTTTATCTTTAAGATAAACCTCTCAGAGTCTTCTATATCTATTTTTACAACTAATTTAGATATTACTATAGTAGAACCAACATTTGTAATCAGAGTTATATTATTTAATTATTATGCTCTTGTGGAGTTTACTTAAACTTCAGCATCTACTTTATAGTATATTCTTTGTATTTTAGTATACCTTTGCTTTTTTATTAAATTTCTAATTCAGATAGCCTATATAGGACTATGACCAGTCTATTGGTATATTAAATTGGCTTAATATCCTTTTTCTTTAGTTTATTTCAGTGACCTAGTTGGTAGTATTTTTGAAACTTCTAATCTAAAAGTTTTTACTTATCCAAGTACTATAACCTTGATATCTGTTTTCAGTAATCTAATCTTTATAGTAGCATTATTAAAGATCTATATTATCTCTTTACTCAGATCTTTTTAAATAAACTTCTTGTTTCTTAATTTCAACAAATTTTTATGACTACAAAGACTTATTTAATATTTGTATTATCTGATGTCAATTTGTATTATTTTATATAACTAATTACACAAATACTCTATAACCTGTTAATTATGCTAATATGATTATTATTATAAATATATTAATCCAATTATTAGAAACAGTTACTATAATACAAGATTACATAAATAATTATTCAAATTTTCATTATTAATAGAATTTGAATTACTTATTTATAATTCTTTCTGATAATCTTCTGACCAACAATAATAACAAACTGAACTACAAAAAAATATTATAGAAAAAAATATTCCTGATCTTATATAAAGTAAATTATTATTGATGAAGCCAAAATAAATATAAAATACTAAGAAGCAGGCATACTTATAGTTGTTTAGAAAAAAGTCAAGCTTTTCTTCTTAGTGGACTATTTTTTTTGTTTAGTATTTAACTAGAAGAGTATTCTAGGAACAATTATAAAAAAACTCAAGTCAGGGCTATTAAAAACTTGAAGCAATTACTATATAATTGTAAAACTTACTTGAAAATCTACATATAAAAATCATTAGCTCCTACTTTTTTTCGAAAAAAAT